TGATGTCCTGTTTCTTCACTGTGTTGGCGTATAGAGGAAACACGGGGGTTATTCAATTTTTTTTGCGTTTTAATGGAAATTTCCATATGTTCATAGGCTCTGACTTTTAAATGGCGTTTGGTTTTGCCAATATAGGAGGCCTTACAGTCTCCACACGTGTAACGATAGACAAGCCAAGAACAATAAGGAATGGGGAGGAGATCTTTAGTAGGAAAGAAATTTTTTATGCGTGTTTTTCATTAATAATTTATTTGATTGCAAATATAGAAAGGCAGTATATCTTTCAGAATGTCTAAATTGTGGTGAATTATACAATGGTGTGTGAACGGTAATTTAAATATATTCCATGTTTGATTTCCTGAGAAATAGCCAATATATGCCAGCAAACAAAATTTAAGATATAGAAATGAATTTTTGAAAAATATTTCATACATTTTTGGCACCACTTTAAATAGGTAAAGGTAAATAAGCAGAAGTAACAGTAGTCGAGTAAGGCTATTGGAATTTTGAAACTATTACTAAGAGGCATATTTTTGCACTAAATTGTTAAAGATTATGGAAATAAACTGCCTTTCTAAAATAACAGGGAAAAAATATAACTACGATGAAATTTTAATCAAAATAAAAATCAAAAAAGGAAGTGAAACTATATTTAATACTCTTAAACTAATTTCAGTATATTCTAATGTGTTCAGTTTATAAGGATTGTATTTTATGTTTGTACGTTTGGAAACATATGTGATTCAGCTTATTTGTGCTCAGTAGAAAAGTGGCATTTGAATGTTTTTATGTCGAGCGTCCTAACCACCTGGCCATGCTGGGCCTCATGGAATAAAGCCAGGATTATTATAGTTTTTGTGTTTCAAAAAGTCATGAAATAAAGCCCGTATTATTATAGTTTTGGGTATCAAAAGGTCATGGAATAAAGCCCGGATCATTATACTTTTTGTGTATTAAAAGTCATGAAATAAAGCCCAGATTATTATCGTTTTTGTGTATCAAAAGTCAAGAAATGAAACCCGGGTTATTATAATTTTTATGTATTAAAAAGTCATGGAATAAAGCTCGGATTATTGTAGTTTCAATATATAATAAAACCCGATGCTTACTGTTCATTTACACGTGCACTAAAAATAAAATCATTAGATTTAAAATCTAACAGTTATAGTTCTCAAGAGATAGATTTTATCGATATTCAGAAAGTGGAAGGTTGGAGGAGGAAGCGTCCTCTTACGTTTCTGCCCAGACTATGAATTCGAAGATTCATGGCTCGCGGCCTGTTACTCTAAAAGAGTGATGGTCAAATTCCCCTATTCGATCAGACAAGAAGCAGCCCAAGACTTGACAGCAGCTCTGTTGATTAGCCGCCTTCCCTCTAGTCAGGCCCAGCATGGCCAAGTGGTTAGTGCGCTCGACTCGCAATCTTCGGATCGTGGGTACGAATCCCCTTCCCGCCAAACATGCTCGCCTCTTT